GAAATTATGTAATTATTATAGTCCTCATCACGTGCGGTGCCGATAAACACAGAGGTCACATTTCAACATCCTACACGATCACCAGAATTACGGATCTTGTCAGTGTTTTTGTCTCGTCCCATCCCCAGGGCTAAACCACCCAGATACTTTCCCTTTCTCTTGATCTTGATTTCTCTTTTCATCCATCTTGCCGGAGTTAACAAGTTCTCAAGTGTCTTTCTTCTAATGTGTCCACATATCACAAATTATCTGCGTGAATATTTTCTAATCAGTCAACAATCTTTATGTGTCTCCCGTGTATGTATGTAGGTATGTGGGTGTGCATGTATGTAAGTTTAGGGATGTTTATGTATGTATTTGAGTATATGCGTGTGCTTATATTAGGGCTGTACCGAATAGTGATTTTCACTAATCGGCCGAATACGAATAACTGGACCAACTATTCGGCCAAATACGAATAGTGAATCATCATCATCAGGTGCTTTGCTGACTGGCATGGGGGATTATGCTTCGCCACAATCTGCGATCTCCTGCAGCATGTATTAGTTCGTGTGCTGACACACCTCCATGCCATGCAACAAGACTGTCAAGAATCTTCTCTCGTTGTCTTCCTCTATCCCTCCTTCCACAGATCTTTCAGTGGTCACCACATGTTCTATTCTCCCTCATCTTATAACACGGTTGACACATGATGACTGTCTCCTCCTGATGTCTGTGATTAGTTGTCTTCTGGCTCCCGCCTCTTTCAAAACCTCTTGGTTGCTTTTCTTTTTTGGCTGTCCAAGGTATTTTAAGCATTGTTCTGTAAAACCACAATTCTGAGGCCTCAAGAAATTGTTTGGCTTGCCTACCGATTGTCTAGGACTCACAGCCATGTTAAAATTTGATATATGTAGCAAGCAAGAATTCTTTTTCTAACCTTCAATCACAAAGATATATTGCATAAGATGTTCTTAATTTTATAAAATGCAGTTTTTGCCTGTCCTATTCTGTTTCTTATTCCAGTAATGCATCTTCCATCTGATGTTATCCATATCCATGTGCCCAGATACTTAAATTTCTGTACTTGTCCCAAAATAAAACCATTGACTTTTATTACACATTTAGGAATATTTTTTTTTTTTTTTTTTTACCACTATTACTTCTGTCTTCCCACTATTCAAACTGAGGCCTATTCTTCCACTTTCGTATATAAAATAGATCTTTAAAAAAAAACATATATAATGTCAAATGTACGCTGAAATTTTACTTTACAAAATATAGTACAAAATAGTAAACATTTAAAAACATTTCAGGCTTTACATCCTTCAGTCAGTCTTTTCTTTTTTTTTCTTCTGCGTTCGACATCAGTCATGCTAAACATTGAGTCCCGTCTGGGTCAAAAATAGGATTGTGCGTTTAAGGTCGCCACTGGTTCCCCATAGCTTCTCTCGCAATGTGGATCCACTGGGCCAGATCCACAGTCTTTGCTGGGAGAGGTAAGGGCAGTACTGTAGTATGTAATATCGCTAGTGCGTAGATGCCCGATTTTTTGTCTGTGGTAACTAATACCTAGGAATAAAAGTATTCTTAGTTTTATAACAAGTAACTAAACTTGTAAATTGTCACTGACAGCTTAGTTAATCCATGGAAGCGGCATTAGCTTTCAAAAAAAAAAAAAAAAATCGTTCCATGTTGTCAGCATTAAGGCAGCTTCTTGTCTCACTGAAGGTATTTCCAGCTGTACTAAACAGACGTTCACTTGGTACGCTCGTAGGTGGCGCACAAAGATAACGCTTGACAGTATGAACCAAGGTGGGAAATTTTGATATATTTATTTTCCCTCAGTCTAGAAACGGATGTAAGGTAACCACTATTCGTATTCGGCCCGAACGCAACTATTCGGCCGAATACCGAATAGTTATTAGGTCCACTATTCGGCCCCGAAACGAATACGAAGCGAATATTCGCTACAGCCCCAGTTTGTATATTTGGGTGCATGTATGTACATCAAATAAACTTTACAGCAAATGCGACACGAAAAATCTTCATGTAAAGCCATTTTACATGTAATAAATTTCTGAAATACAAGAGGCAGCTTGAAAGTTGAACTTAATTTGAAAATAATTGTGTTGTATGGAGAGTTTGGCTGAAGTTAAGTGGTCGTAAAATGAATGGGCCAAATAAGTTACTCGCTGTTTGTGTTGTAAAGTGTCAGGTAAACGGATTTTTGGCAGACATCCGATGGGCGGCGGTGTATATAAATGCATTTTTCTCCAGGTTTGCAATTTAAAATCTTTTTTCTTTTTGAAGTTTTACCCTTTTTGTTTTGCACGGACATGATTAACATCTCAAGGGTGAGAATCACACAGCTAGACAATCCCGGACCCTGTTCAATCCTGTAGCCATATAGCACAGTTATAGTGAAAAGTAAGGGACCCTCATCCACGCTTTCAGGAGTATATGGTATACAGAGCTGGATCTATATTTTATAGACCACAGGGCACTTAGTGAGTGATGTGGTCAGCATCACGCCGGTCGCCTTAGCTTCCCATGACTGCACCTGGTATCCACTCAAGGCTGGGTCGACCTGGCAGCACTGGTCATTTTTGAGAAAATTCCGGCCCCCGTCAGGAAACGAACCCACGACCTTCAGTTCCGCATGCGAGTGTCTAGCCGCTAGACCAGAGCAATTCCCACAGTTATAGTGAGACTCACAAAATGGCAGTGAAGTAACCTTTAGTCCAGTCTGGTGGGTTTCGGTGCTTTATTCATTCATTCATTGGCACCTTTCCATCTCTCCAGAAGATAGGGTTATATTGCGCTATGAGGAGGCATGGCAATCACAGACCATGGCGATGGCGAGTGTGACTAGCAAGACTAGCGTGGGTTAAAAACAGGCTTCCATAATTACAATATGAGATTTCATGACCATCGTTGTCAACATTTGTGTTTAGTCTGTTTCTTTTCAGACGATCGGTTCTCATCCTTTCTGCAGTCGTTTCTTCCTTCACTTTCACTCTCTTCCTGATGTGCCCCTCCACATAACACGGTCTATGACCTTTTATTTTAATGTCCACCTCGATACCTGTATCATTCATGTCCAAGATGCGTGAAAACATCTTTGTATCGTAGTAGAGGTCGGCCTCGAATCTTCTGCTCGTCTTTAACACTTTCACAATAGAAGATGTCCATATGGACTCTTCCATCCTTCTTTCTCCAGCTCTGGCTGCTTTAAAGTACTGAATGCGATATCTCAGGTGATGAACACGCGGACGTATGACAAATAAGTACACGGAGCATCTTATTCAGTCCCAGCCGACAGGCTACATCCGTTAATGGCCCAGTGTCCGTGTTTTCTTGTCGAATCTGTTCAGCTGTTGGTGAATTCGCGTCCGAAAAGTGGCCCTTTGAGTCACTGGCAGACCGACAACCAAGCAGACATACTAACAGACAGCGTTATGAGCAAATGATTTTCTTTTTCTCTTTTTTCCAGTGAATGCCCAGTGTAAAGACCAATCGTTGTGCAGCTTTATGGCCTCCGAAGGCGAGTGTGAGAATGATCCTGAGTACATGCTGCAGGAGTGCCCCAAAGCCTGCAAGAACCCTTGTTTATGCCCAGGTAAGGAGGCTTCTTTACTCGTCACCACCTGTGTGTCCGTCTGTTTTGTAAGTCCTTACAAGAAGCAAGAAATTATAGCTCTGTTTGAACAAAGATGATGTAGAAGAAAAAGAAAAGACAAAATTAACAATGCTAATCCTTTAACCAGAAAAACCACCAATACTAAAATGGATGAACATCAGGTAAAGCAAGCGAATGATTTTACATATATAGGAAACATTTTTTCAGAAGACGGAAGACTTGATCAAGATATCCCAAAAAGATGCAATAAAGCTGTTCAAGTTTTAGGCCAAATGGCACCAATTTTGAAATGCAAGCTTGTGAATATGAACTCTAAAATAACACGGTAATACACAATATTCTTTCCAATTATATGCTATCAATGTCAAACGCGGACAATGTCTTCAGGAGAATGACGAAAGAATAGTCCTGACATAGATGAAATATTTACCTACTATGCTAGGTGTAAAGAGAAATGATCAGCCTAAGAACGATGACATCAGGAAGAGAGTCGACACAAAACCAATATTTAACTTTATAGCTAGCCACCAAATCAAATGGTTTGCCATGCAACAAGACTGGCATCAAACACAGAGAAAGCAGTGTTATACAGATACAACGGGAACAGATCCAGAGGTCGGCCACGCAGAATATGGACGGTAGAAATACCAGAGACACTAAAAAGTACTTTATAGAAGCGAACAGAAAAGCCCTATCCAGAGATCCCTTCCTTTCCTGACGACGCGAGACATTTCAAGAGTATAGAAAAGAAGAAGAAGAAAAAGAACAACAACAACAACAACAACAACAAGAACAACAACAACAACAACAAGAAAAGAAGACAAATATAACCTGTCGTAATGGATTAGGTTGCGAACAATGAAAAACCGACAAGAGCAGACTATCATTTCACGTAGACAACGATGAACTACTAACTAGCTACCTCCATTTTATGTAGAGTTGATTCCCAGAAGACCTAATACATACATCATATGTTGTTTGGGACTGAAGGAGTTAAAAAAGTTTTGTGGTTTATTAGTAATGTTGTCAGTCGTCACACGATGACTGTAACTAGCAGCATATCATTGATGCAGCCACAGCGTGGAATAGACCTTTGATTTTACTCATTTGGTGACCAGGTGACGAACTCATTGTGGTCCGGTTTCACTCCCGGGGGTGGGCAGAAAAGCCACATTTCTCCCAGATTTACGGTATCTATCATGGAATCAAGGCCGAAGGGTTACGGTATCCATTGTACCGAGCCAAAGGGTTAGGGACTCATGGTTTCTGAATATTTAAACACACACACACGCACGCGCGCACACACACACGCACACACACACACACACACGCACACGCACACACATCTTGAACAAGGTAGATAACCCTGATTGTCAGCATGAACTTATCTCCCCTGCCAGGAATCAGCCAGGACACGGCCTGCGACTGTCTTATCAAGGCAAAGAGTGGCTACTGCTCCGACCCAGCAGCTCTGACCGACTGTCATTCAACGTGCACTCAAGTCATTCACGGTGAGTGTTTCTTCACATCCCCCATCTCCCTCTAAATTTCTTCACACACACACACACACACATATATATATATATAGGGAGAGATAGAAAGAAACAAGAAGTGACGAGGGCAAGCTTACGGATGGATAGAGAGACAATCGACTACAGACATACATGAAGTGACTCCTATCTATTAAAGAAGTAGGAAATAGGAAGTGACGTCGCCAATATGAGAGACAGAAGGAGAGCGATAGTGAGGGAGAGATTTTTAGAAAAAGTGAAACTAAAGATGCAAAGACACAGAGAGAGAGAGAGAGAGTGACAGAGAGAGAGAGACAGAGAGAGAGAGAGAGAGAGAGAGAGAGAGAGAGAGAGAGCGGCAGAGGGAGCAAGATACCGACTGACAGAGAGAGAGAGGCTTACAGACTGGTTGACCTTGAAGATTTTACGAGAACTGAATATTTCTCCATTTCCCAACATTTAAATTGTCACGGTCCCCGGTGCCTTATTTGGTAGAAAGGGGGAGGGGCATTGAATAGACCCACGGATCCTCTTAAAGCATGTCGTAAAAGTCGACCAATTATGTATGTTTGTTTTGAAGTCAAATTGCATCTGCCTGAGATGTGAGGAACCAACAGCCTGCTTACAAAGAAGCCAGGGCTGTCAAACAAATGCGCACTCAAAAATAAATCAAGTTCTAGAACAAAAGAAAAGTCTAGAAGTAGACAAACAACCAGAATTTTTCGTCGGAGTTTATAGCCGGTGAACGCGAAGTACAAGAAAAAGGTATCGTAAATGAACACTGCACACTGAATAACCTCTTTAGGGCTAATAAATGCATCGCTACTTTTGATTTATTTTGTAAACCAAATAAACGCTCTAGGGCTAATAAATGCATCGCTACTTTTGATTTGTTTTGTAAACCAAATAATCGCTCTAGGGCTAATAAATGCATCGCTACTTTTGATTTATTTTGTAAACCAAATAAACGCTCTAGGGCTAATAAATGCATCGCTACTTTTGATTTATTTTGTAAACCAAATAATCGCTCTAGGGCTAATAAATGCATCGCTACTTTTGATTTATTTTGTAAACCAAATAAACGCTCTAGGGCTAATAAATGCATCGCTACTTTTGATTTGTTTTGTAAACCAAATAATCGCTCTAGGGCTAATAAATGCATCGCTACTTTTGATTTATTTTGTAAACCAAATAATCGCTCTAGGGCTAATAAATGCATCGCTACTTTTGATTTATTTTGTAAACCAAATAATCGCTCTAGGGCTTATAAATGCATCGCTACTTTTGATTTATTTTGTAAACCAAAGAATGGGATTTCTTCCTTCCCCCAGAATCCTGCCCGTTGCTGCCAATCCCGGATGACCCCAACGCTGTCTTGTCTACGTGGTCATCGAATTACCTGACCACCGTTACGGAGGTTTGTGTCACAGGTTACGCTCCAGTGGTGCCTGAGAACCAGGGCAAGAAGACTTGCTCCTCGGGTCCCAGATGGGTTGTCGATCCTTACAACGGGACTCCTGTTCAATGTACACGTGAGTACGCCATCACTACAACTACAACCACATTCTGTCAGTTCACGATAATCTCGCGCTGTCTATCGGTTCTCTCTCTCTCTCTCTCTCTCTCTCTCTCTCTCTCTCTCTCTCTTTTCTGTCTCTGTCTGTCACTTTCTGTCTCTGTGTCCGTTCTCTCTCTTTCTCTCTGTCTCTTTCTGGCTTTATGTCCGTTCTCTCTCTCTCTCTCTCTCTCTCTCTCTCTCTCTCTCTCTCTGTCACTTTCTGTCTCTATGTCAGTTCTCTCTCGCTCTCTCTCTCTCTCTTTCTCTTCCTCCTTCTCTCCATTGATTTGATTTGATTCAAGAACCGACATCACAGCACTCGAGACATTCCCATAAGCGCTCCATCCCCATCGTCAGCAGCGAGCGAAGAGTTCCAATACTGGTGGTGCCAGTAGCATTCTGATTAAACGTCCATCCTGCCTTTACTCCGAGCCTCGAGCATCTGCCAGAACCCCTCGCCCCTCCCCCCTACTGCACCAATCCCACCAGACCGCGGTGCAGAGCCAGCCAGTCTGTCCGCCTGTTCATTCCCCCAACACACCGGCGGCCTCGGTGAAAAAATCCAGACAATACTCCTCATCCGTGTCCTCCGCAGTGAAGCATGCCACTCTGCACGAAGCATACCTGTTCTGATCTTCCTCAGCATGCTTTCTGAATCAGTTACAATCACGATGAGTGTGTGTGTGTGACATGTTCTCTAGCCAGCGGAAAACTGCAGTGATCGCCTCCACCTCCATTCTTAAGCTGGATGTTGTGGTATCATATGCCAGGCTCTCCTGCATCAAACGTCGACCATTAACTTTTGCTAAGAAACCCCAAGCACTTCTTTTGCCTCTTGACACTGAACCGTCTGTGTAAATGATCAAATCCTCTGAGCGAGCATTATCGTGAATTAATTGCTGAATTTCCACCTCTGTGGCACCTGCTGGCCAGTCTCTGCATTCCCGGCTCAGCGTGATTATGACTCTTCACAAGTCTGACTTTTCAGGTGGCACTTTGACCCACTCTTCTCCTCGCCTAATGTTCTCAAGGATGCAAACCTGTCTGACTGTGTCTTCTGCCTGAGCCATCCATGACCTCCCTCTTATCAGCCGCTGACCCTTAACTGCACCAGGAGCTTCATGCAGAGGGTGGTCTGTGTCTGCAGCTACCCTGAGATATGACTTCGCCTGCAGAACCTTGTGCCTACCTGCAACCGTCGGCAAACCAAGGATGTACCGCATACACACCACTGGGGTGTCTCTGGTGCAACCCAGAATGACCCGCATAGCCGCGTTCTGTGTGCGCTCTAGTTTGTCCATCTGACTCTTTGAGACGGTAAGCAGTCCCATGCCATAATCAACCACTGACAGGATCAGGTGCTGATATAGTGTGAACAGCATTCTCTGCTCTATGTCAATTGCAGCCATAGTCTTAAGTGCACTAGGTCCTTTTTGGCATCTCGTCACAACACTCTCCACATGGTCTTTAAATGACAGGCTCCTGTCAAACGTAATTCCCAGATACTTCAGTTTGCTCTCTCAGTTGACGTTTCTACCATCTATCAAGAGACTTGGGACATTAGCATTAACGATGCTGTTGTCCAGATAACACCACAAAACAGACGCCTTTTCCGGGTGGACGACAGCCTTCATTTCTGTACACCACTCAGTCACTTTGTCTACTGTCGCTTGTAGCTCCCGAGCTGTTTGTTCCCTCTCTTTCCCCTGCCTATATGCAAATATATCATCCGCAAAAGTCAGTATCCTTCCAACTCCTGGTGCTTCTAGGCTTGCAATCTTGCTCGTATACACGTTGAAGAGCACAGGCAAGATGGCGGATCCCTGTGGCCAAAGTACATGGTTCAGAGGTCCATAAGCCCAGTCGGAGAGCAACCCGACGTGAATACAGGACAGCTGCAACCCAATTCACCAGCCATGGACTGACTTCCTTCTCCCTCAGTGCAGTTATTAAAATGGCGTATCTCACTCTGTTATAAGCATCCTCGAGATCCAGTCCTACCGCCATAGTTTCTTGTCTGTTCTGGAACCCTTCATAGACGTCAAAAGCAAAAGTGGCCGCATTTGCCCAAGTGTCCTTTCCTGGCCTGTAGCTTCCCAGACCTCTTGGGAGAAGCTTCCCCCTTTCCCAAAATTCTTGCAGCTTTACAGCAACTATCTTCTCCAAGACTTCCCTAATGTGTTTTGTTAATTTTGTAAGGTGATGATTCTAAAGCTACTGAGCTTAGAATGATCTTTAAACGGTTTTTCTCTCCATCTGATAAGTAACATTTTTAAAAGGTTTTTCTCTCCATCTGATAAGTAACATTTTTAAAAGGTTTTTCTCTCCATCTGATAAGTAACATTTTTAAAAGGTTTTTCTCTCCATCTGATAAGTAACATTTTTAAAAGGTTTTTCTCTCCATCTGATAAGTAACATATTTGAAAGGTTTTTCTCTCCATCTGATAAGTAACATTTTTAAAAGGTTTTTCTCTCCATCTGATAAATAACATATTTAAAAGGTTTTTCTCTCCATCTGATAAGTAACATTTTTAAAAGGTTTTTCTCTCCATCTGATAAATAACATATTTAAAAGGTTTTTCTCTCCATCTGATAAGTAACATTTTTAAAAGGTTTTTCTCTCCATCTGATAAGTAACATTTTTAAAAGGTTTTTCTCTCCATCTGATAAGTAACATTTTAAAGGTTTTTTCTCTCCATCTGATAAGTAACATATTTGAAAGGGTTTTTCTCTCCATCTGATAAGTAACATTTTAAAAGGTTTTTCTCTCCATCTGATAAATAACATATTTTAAAAGGTTTTTCTCTCCATCTGATAAATAACATATTTAAAAGGTTTTTCTCTCCATCTGATAAATAACATATTTAAAAGGTTTTTCTCTCCATCTGATAAATAACATATTTAAAAGGTTTTTCTCTCCATCTGATAAATAACATATTTAAAAGGTTTTTCTCTCCATCTGATAAATAACATATTTAAAAAGGTTTTTCTCTCCATCTGATAAATAACATATTTAAAAGGTTTTTCTCTCCATCTGATAAATAACATATTTAAAAGGTTTTTCTCTCCATCTGATAAGTAACATATTTAAAAGTTTTTCTCTCCATCTGATAAGTAACATATTTAAAAGGTTTTTCTCTCCATCTGATAAGTAACATATTTAAAAGGTTTTTCTCTCCATCTGATAAATAACATATTTAAAAGGTTTTTCTCTCCATCTGATAAATAACATATTTAAAAGGTTTTTCTCTCCATCTGATAAGTAACATATTTAAAAGGTTTTTCTCTCCATCTGATAAGTAACATATTTAAAAGGTTTTTCTCTCTATCTGATAAGTAACATATTTAAAATACTTGGTTCAGTTACAGGGTAAAATCGTTTACTAGACTATTATGAATATTTGTTTATTAGTATAGGATGGGTAGAAGAGGCCCAGCTCGG